AATTGGTTTGAACGTTTATTTCATCTCTAATTCATTTATTTGATATTCTTAATTGTTCGTGTTGAATTAAACCATATATTCTTAAAATCGCGTACAAATTGAATTGTTACCCAATTTCGAGGTAAACACAGTTAACTATAAATGGTAATAGTTTATATACTCGATGCATATCTTGCAATTATTCATTTGGTGCAAACATCGTGTATGTGAAGTTCTTTTTTCTGTTTTTATGCAAAAATTAGCACAATTAAACCTAAACAAAAAGAAAAAGACAAAAAATGCGTCCCACATGATCAAGGAAAAGATTAGTGAATAATTTGATCAAATGATGGTACAAATAACTTGATCAAATCACCGTTAATTTCATTTTCCTATAATTAATTATAACAACATTCTAAAAAGTTAGCGTATGATTTAGAATTAGGTCACTATTGACCAGCAAAATCAATAAATACTACTCCCTTCGGTCCACTTTAATTGATGTTTTAACTGTTTTCACACATATTAAAATTTTTATCTTTTAGCATTAATTAACAATAAAATTAACCTTATTAACCTTAATTTATTTATTGAAAATACAATAAAATTTCTAGGCTCTTTACTTCAAAAAAGAAGTTAATTTATTTTTGATATCTGAAGAAAATCAAATATTGTAGATCACAGTAAAAAGACAAAAAATTAATTAAAGTGTACTGGAGTATAGTACTACTAATGTGGAAAGGATAACTTGGGGGCTTCAATAAATAAATTATGATAACTACTCATTAATCAATAGGTTCACTAAAATTATCCATTGCAATTGCGTGGAATATATGGTGAAGGTTACGAAGAATTTCATACTCATCATATAATTAGCAAAACAATTAATATCTTGATTCTGTCTACACATAAAGTGATTTTCCATTTTATAGGAAAAATCTTTAAAGATGTCCAATAGGCACCATCCACCCTGTGAAAACGGTTGAAGTCTTCGTCTGCATCTAAAGTCAATGCCTTTTTTGCACCAATGAATTTCCCATTAATATCCAGACGACTAGACCTATAGAATAGTTGTATTTGATGAACACTTTATTATTTTATATAATTGTCTTTATCCGGTCAGAACCATATCCATTTGACGTGCTACAAAATATTTCCTCTGATAAGGGAAAGGAAAGGGTAACCCAACCAAAAAAAGGTTTTCTAAAAATAATGGACACTATGGATTCATATTGCATATACCTAATTGGAAGCCTAAAAGGATTATTAGTGTAGTTTCTTTAAAATAATAATGAGAGTGATACTTCTGGAAAATATCATATTGCATATACCTCATTATTATTTTTTCAGGGCTCTCTCGTTATAAATTATCTAAAAAAATTCAATTTCCACGCTGTTTCTTTTCTGGCCTAGTTGGGATCTTCGTCTTCGCATATATAAAGAGGGCAAGGCCCCAAATTGAGTTTGTAATTCGTATCATTCTGCAGTTGTTGGTTTTGCATCATAAGTCGTAAGTCTCTTCCCCTCTTTCCCTTCCGCCGCATGAAACATCATAGAAGGAAATACATTTTTTTATTTTATGCGTTGTAGATGATGTAGTTTCGCTGGTCCATTTACCTTTTTTTTTCCAGCTTGTGACTCTCTTTACTTTCTTGAATTGTAATCTGTAAGTTTCTCTGTTTGAAAGATGGTTTTGATGAGGTTTAGTAGGTCGGAAAGTTACTTTTCTTGTGAATTGACAGGAAACTGCAACGTCACCATCAATTGGTGGGACATGGCTTTCGTTACTGCTCGCATATCAATGATAAAAATTAAAATTTGGGTGTTTTTAAAATCATGATTCTTGAATTTTGTTTTGGGTTTATCAAGAGTTTATCAGGTTTTCTTGTTCTTACTTCTCAAAAACAAAACATTCCTCCCTAAGTCCCTGTCTTCCACATACTATACCTACCCGGAAAAAAAAGGTTGCTCCCAATTGATCTGTTGTCTTAGTAAAGGCAAAACCAGGGAAAAACTGAATTATAGTCTCTAAATTATTGCTCATTTTGACAAATTTCCGGAAGCGTTGTATGGACTTTTCTAGTAGAATCTGAAAAATCCCTAAATTACTGGTTAATGTAACAAAGACACAAGTATCATTTGCTCCAATATATTTTGATATTCCTTTGGGCAAGTTTAGCGGGTTAATATGTGGACATGTTGTGGATTAAATACTCTTAATATCTGTTGTTTATGCTGTCTTTGCAGAATATGGGCAATTTGTTCTGCTGTGTTCAAGTTGATCAATCCACAGTTGCAATTAAGGAGCAATTTGGCAAGTATCAGGATGTGCTTGAGCCAGGTTGCCACTGTGTGCCTTGGTTCCTTGGAAGCCAGTTGGCTGGTCATCTCTCCCTCAGAGTGCAGCAACTAGATGTGCGCTGTGAAACCAAGACAAAGGTTTAATTTTTTCCTGTCTCTGATTTGCTTTGGCTTGAAATAACTAAGTTAGCATCCTACTCTAATATCAAAGTTACTACGATTTACTTGTTGCATGGAAGCAGTAGACGTAAGTTTGTTGAAATTTATGAGTTATAGCTGATGCATTCATTGCAATAATATTCAGGACAATGTATTTGTCAATGTTGTCGCATCAATTCAGTATCGTGCCCTGGCGGACAAAGCAAATGATGCTTTCTACAAACTAAGTAACACTAAGGGTCAAATTCAGGCATATGTTTTTGACGGTCAGTAACTAAACTTTCACTAGATCTGATGATTTATTTCCTGAATTGAATTTTGTTAGTCTATGACCATCTAACTTGATATTGATACGATTTAATAAGATGCGAGAGATTTTGACTTCTCTGTGCTTTATCTCGTCAGTCATTAGAGCAAGTGTTCCAAAACTCAATCTGGATGATGTATTTGAGCAAAAAAATGAAATTGCTAAGGCTGTTGAGGAGGAACTTGAGAAAGTAAGTGAATTCTTGATGATTTTTCATTGATATTGATCTGGATCATTACTTGGATCATATAAATGCTTTCTTTCTCTTTTACAGGCTATGTCAGCTTATGGATATGAAATTGTTCAGACACTTATAGTTGATATAGTACCAGATGAGCATGTGAAGAGGGCTATGAATGAAATCAACGCTGGTATAAATAAATTCTTTACTCTGATTAAGCCTACCTTACACGCTTACTGTTTCTCAGCCGCTCTAATAGAGAGGAATATATATTCCAGTTGAGGGATTTTCCATGTACCATTATAGCGATATTGTTGTGGATAAAAATATTTAAATATGGATCAAAACATTGCGGTTTTACGAATTGTATTACATCTATGTCTTCCAAGCTTTTGTTCTGGTTAATATTTTGGTGTGTAGACAGAGATGGCAATTCGAGAATTTTAGTTTTTCCAAATTCAAAATTTTGATACTCTTGTTCAGTCTTCCTTATTATTTTCATGTCTTAACTATCTTCAACTCTACAGCTGCTCGGTTGAGGGTGGCTGCTAATGAGAAGGCAGAAGCTGAGAAGATTTTGCAAATTAAGAGGGCTGAAGGGGAGGCCGAGTCTAAGTATCTCGCAGGCTTAGGTATTGCTCGACAACGTCAAGCAATTGTGGATGGTCTGAGAGACAGTGTGCTAGGATTTTCAGTCAATGTGCCAGGAACTAGTGCAAAGGATGTTATGGACATGGTCCTCGTAACCCAGTACTTTGACACAATGAAAGAAATTGGCGCTTCCAGCAAATCATCTGCTGTCTTCATCCCCCACGGGCCTGGTGCTGTAAGAGATGTGGCACAGCAGATCCGTGATGGACTTCTTCAGGCTTCTGTTTAGCTTAAATACTTATTGCTCATGAATGTTAATGGATTTCACATCAAGCAAGCTTTTGTCATGTTTAGTCTTTTCTTTCTTAAATATGGAAATATGTGGTGACATTGACTTTGTTAGAGATTGGTGAATTCCAATACCATCTATGTTTATAATCGGATTGTGAGGTTTTGAATATTTACAGAAGAAATGTTTAAATAAGTTCCAACTTGTTCTACAGCATCACATACTTTTGCGGCTACCATGATCTGATACTCTTTGGCCGAAGTAACTCATTTTCTATCTGCGCTGCTGGGACAATTTTGGTTTCCCAAATTCTGTCTTTCATATCATGGCTCCTGAACACTCATCTGTAAGAGCCCCATGCAATATTTACATGGCGTTACTTGGTATTTATACTTTACATAGACTCACTTTAATAGGTATTTTGCTTTGCAATCAGGCATTTTGGTTGAAATAACACGTGTGATGTACAAAGTTGAGATATTGGGGAGGACTGACATTAGATGAACGCTCGAACGTTAGCATTATATGTGAAATTGACCGATGGGAAAATTTCTGTCTTTTGTTCCTCTTCAGTGTATCGCTGGCGCTGCTATTAGAGTGTGCTATAATATTGGCTCTTAATGAAGCATCCTTGTGAATTTGACGTCTTAGGTTTATTACTTATCCTTCTTGACATTGGTATACTTTGAATAATGTGAGAGGAGATAAAGTTCCTCTCAAAATAGTAGGAACGGCTCGAAAAGTTAAGCTTATCTCTAATGCATGTTGTTACTTCTACAATGGAAGTAATTCTTTTGAAAAGTAGAGACACGGATAAATAGCACACCAAAAAGAGAAAAGTTCCTAACATGTGGCCTTCAAATTCAAGTAATGTAGTGTCTTTTTTCTTCCTTCAAAACATCTGGCAGTTTGTTTCTATCATATAACCCATAAGCTACATTGTGGGAGAGCTGTAAAGATTTCTGATGTTCCTCTAAGGTTTTCTTCCTCTTTAACTATGTAAAGTTAGTCTCGTAGTCTTAGGCATTGCCCAATGAAGCCCAAAATAATTACACGCACACACACCAAATCTCAGAGGCTGTAGAACAATGAAAAAAAGAGATAAGTCCGGGTTTCTGTCAGGTTTGACACATGTTTCATCTAAAGCGATCCATCCAAAACAAGCAACTTTTAGGAGGGATTCTAGTTCTCGAGGAGAGAAACCTTGGCATGTAGTATTACCATTAGCAACTAGTTTCCAGTACACCTTTTATAGCGTCAACCATTTTCATGCTTAAGAGTTTATAGTCTTCAAACATGCAGTTGATAACAAGTACAGAGTGATTCTAGAATGTGGGACTTTGTTTGCATTAATAGGTCATATATAGGAAATCCTCGAAGATAATATGCCCCTGAGACAGACTGTTGTTGTCTTTGCTGTGACCAGGGGCGAAGCTATGTTGGCCCAAGGGTGGTCAACTAAACACCATTCGCCTAAAAATTATACTACGTATAAGCTAAAATATTAGTACTTGTTATTGATTAAAAAATAGACTTTGAACGCCCTTGCATAGCCCACTGGCAAAGGGTGTTCAAAATTTGAACACCCTTATTGAATTTCCTGGCTTCGCCACTGGTTGTAACTCAGACCTTAAGGGAGAGCGAAACCCCCAGTGTAGCAGTGCTCATGGCATCCATGACATTCATCTCTGCTCCAATTGTCAGACAGAATCTTGAAAGAAGATCGTGTTGAAAAAGAGTAGCCAAACTGCCATCACTTGCAGCTCGAGCTTTAATCAGCATAAAAGGAAACGGGGAATGCTGGGCTCCCAGGGTAAGAGTCGTTTGTTTGCTGGAGAATTGATGCATTAGCTCCGCTGCAATTCCTGTGTGTGTTAAGGGTTGAATTTGACGGTAAGCATGAGCTCTCAAGGTGTCAGCTTTATCGCTCCTGCATTTTAACTGCATCAGAACATTGAGCATTCTTGCAACAGAAATGCTAGTACTAAATCTATATTGAAAATTCACCCTACATTATTTAACAAAATGGGAATTCAAACTTTGAAAAGAAAAAGGGAAATTAATTCCTGTTGGAGAAGATTTACAAGGTGAGTGAAGCGGTGAGAATGTCAGTATTGAAGCTCAAACCAGCATCGCATTTGGCCAGTATATCAGTTTCTGCATCAATTGAGATATCTGCTCCAGTGTTGAAAAAACCATTTCCAATGACACCAGAAAAACTTATCAGGGGGCTTTTTGTCAAACTGATGCCTGCTGTATACCCAAAATAATCACGCAAGTACTGCAATTCCACCTGTTAATACATATATAGGCATAAGAAAGGTAAAGTATACGTTTGATACAGAATTAGAATTGTAATGTCAAAGAAAGGAAAGAAATTCTCACCTTATTAGACCTCTGATATGGTAAATAGAACTTGAGAAGTGTCCTTATTTCCTGTCCAGGTACACTGGCTCTAACTACAGTAACCGAGAATGCATAGATCGCAAAATGATCATACAGTAACTTTGAGAAAGCAGAATACAAGGAAATTGAAGAAATAACAATAGATACCTCCACCGCTGAGGTTTAAGCTCCAATCTAACCAATTGAAGTGATAGCAAATTGGCGGCTGCATGTTATAATCTCCATATAGAAGATCTGATATAAACAAATAACATTATCAAATCCTCAATAAAATATACAAAGGTACAGATTCCATTAATTTAACTCACCAACACATGCCTATATATACAGAGAGGAAACACAACTATATTCTAATTAAACGATTTCCAGCAGTCAAGCGTGACAAAATCAAAAGTGGGAGAAATAAATGATAGCAAGTACCTGTTGCATCTTTGCCAATATCAGAATAGATCCCTGGCTGCTTGCTCATTTTTTCCCCTGGCCCAAAAATTGAGATCCTGAACTGTTAATTGATCCTTCCTTTTTAAAATTATATTTGAATTTGATATCTGCAAGCAAGGTAATAACAAGACAAAAACGAAGCTTCCTTTTGAATCGAGATTTCATGTTGAGGAAGCTTCCCAAGGAATGGTGCTACAACAGAGAAGATTTATGAAACAAATTTCACATACATGACCTTTCATGGTGACGAGGAGGTACAAATATTGAGCTTTTCGTTACAAAAAATGCAAAAATTCTTCAAACAATGTGCAATTTAACTTCCATAATAACCTCTAGAAACATTTAAGACTTTTGCTTAATCTCTTGCTTTGGCACTTCTCTGAATTCACATTATTAGATTTCCTGCATATTACTGCAGATCAATGAACGTTTAATTTATGGCAGTAAAGACTGAACAGTAAGCACCTAGAATAACTTCCTTCAGAAGAACTGATGGAATCACATACAACAGAACGTACAGGATCATAATATGTAAATTGAATATAATAATTAGATATAAATCGATTCATACCACTTGAAGCTAGAAGATACCCACAAAAATCAAGTCTGAGTAGGTCAGTACGGTTTCTAAGAGCTGCTGTTTTTTGTTGGAGTGATCCGATATATAGAAATTTGTTTCTTGCTTTCCAAGACAAGTTAACTACGGAGTAATATTTTTTTTCAATCAAGTAACAACTTACTAAAGTCCTTATTTGATTCAACATAAATTATTCTTTCCATAATAAATTAGTAGTTTTTCCATTACAATATCGTAATAACACTTCTTATTAAATTTCGAATTCAACATTAAACACATATTTAACTCGCCATGCTAATATTACGTAGACCAATTCATCAATTACTTTAAATTATTGAATATTTATTTAATTGATTTATAAAAACATTTAGACTTCCGCTTAACTTATTTCATGTATCAGATACAAAATCCACCTGCAGAGTTTACATAATGAAAATTTATAAGTTTTTTAAGGGGTATCATCAATCTTTAAACTGAGATATATATTCTAACAATACAATATTATGTCACATAATATACATCATCCAATTTATTAGGTATGGTGATCCATAATGAACCTCACCATTAATAAATCAAAAATAATTATGAATATACATTGTTCATAATAATCATATCTAGATTAAGATTATAAGTATATTCAGCTAGTATAACAACACTTATCTCTATTTAGTCTTGTCTAATACATTTATAATGTACTAACACAAGAAGTTGGAATTAAATTGTTTCCAAAATGAAGATAAATTATATTTAATCTTGTTACTACAATCACACGTTAGATTTTGAACTTAAAACTTATTCCTTAAAAAATTGATGATTTAATCTTTTCGTGTATAATCTAAATTCTATGCACCAAATTATCTAGTAATATATAAGTAAAGGGATACACAAACAAACAAATGATCCATTTAAGGCAAATCTTTATTAAAGTGAATAACAGTTGTTCCATGAATATATAGAGAGACATCTAAAGTTGTCACGATTTTTTAGACACCTCAAATAGACCTTGTTCCGATTGAACACATGTAGTAGGCTCAGAATGTACCGGTTAGATACATCTTATTGATATGGTTGATAGCGTGAGTTACACCTGTAGGATGCTCGTGCATTGTCCTCTACTGGTGTCCTAGGAGTATTTTCGACGCATAAATATATGTTCATACAAATGTTTATCTCTTAATTATTCTATTTTCACTTAGGAAAACCTACTTATTGTGTTTTTTTTTTTGGCGCACTACAACCCAAAACATCAAGCCAAAGAACATTTTACATGGTGCAACTCAGGCTATCAATCAAATCAGCGAGATGTGTTTGATTGATACACTTTGGTCCTGTTACATGTGTTCAATTCGAACAAGGCCTACTTAAGATGTCTAAATAAAAAATCATGACTACTTTAAGTATTTTCATATGTTTTCAGCCTTTCCAAATACTATACTAGTATAACTATAGGTATAGTTGATAAACTCTGTTCCCTTTTTGCAAACTGATACTTTGTCAGATGACTAAAACTTAATCATCAATCGCAATGAGGACTTGGCCGGTTTATACTTGGAACAATTCAAAAATAGAGCTGCAAGTTGCAAAATTCCGTAACCTATCGGAGATCAAGATCTTTGTACTTTTGTAATCTGGAGAACTTTATCAAATTCAGCTTTTGATAGTGTCAACTCAACCAGAAGCTGTTAATCTTCATCTATATATTCAGATATCGGAGGTATGCAGCACTTTAACAATGAAGCAAAAATGTAAGATAAGTCAATAATGGGCATGTAGTAGAATCTACAGTTGCAGTTTCTGCTTTGATGTGATTAAATAGTTAAATTGATTTACAATTTCACCTTCCTAACCAACATAAAATCAATGTGTCTATTCGTCTAACATCTAAGACAAGTACTTTTCTGTATTTTCCGATCATTTGTTCATTGCCTGATCCTCTTTACCCGCTAATTAAAGTCACACCCTAACAATGAGAAGCAGTATTGTAATCTTGATAACTGAAAAAATGTTGCAGAAATTAACTTTAGTTTTCTGCTTTAGGGAGGGTACTATAGACACTATATGGTCTTTACTTCAGCTCATTCCAATCCCTGTCATAGAATATTACTGTACGTAACTGAGAAACATCACTTGACTTTTTTCTTTTTTTTCATCAAGTGGCTCGATAGTGGATCGAATGGAAGGCGAGCAGCACTTGCATTCGCTGCAATTTGCCCAGCTTCATTAAGCAACTTGAGAATTACCTCCCTCTTGTCTTCTAGATCCTGCATCTTGGCATCAATTTTCTCCACCTTAAGCTTGAATTTTTCTAAGTCCTTATTATCATCGGGATTCTTTTCTTTTTTATCCTTCTTGTTCTTCTTCGTCTTATCTTTTCCATCCTTTTCCTTGGTTTTTTCATCCTTGTCTTTCTTCTTTTTATCTTTATCTTCCTTCTCATTTTTATCTTCTTTCTCCTTCTCAGTAATTTCCTTATTTTCAGTTTTGGTTGCACCGTCATGTTTTCCTTTATCTTCTGTCTCTTGCATTGGTTACCTTTCTAGTTTAATTTACCATTCAGAGTGCTGAAACAGAATATAAACCAGAGAAACGGACAAGGTCATGGTATATATTTGATGAAGATGCTGATTGTGCTAAACATTTCTGGAAATGTAGTTAACGGATTTAAGGCTAATTCAAAGTATCAAAGGGAAGAGATGATGATAATTAATTCCAATCTTTGGATTTTTTATTTAAGTGTTCAACTATGGTCAGTTTGTGTTGAAAATAAATAGGATACCAAGATTTGAGAGGCTCCATCCATGCCCCTATTTCTCTGCCATGGACACAAAAGAATTACAGCATATTGAACGGTATAGGCATTTTCAGAATTGTGCTGATTATATAACCACAAATCACGCTACATTTAATCCTAGCGCCCTCTTAGAGTCTAGACACAACAATGTAGGCCATAAATTTGAATCCTGGATAATTAATAGTTTAAGTAATTAATTATCTTAGGCTCATGATAATTTCAGAGTCAAATTCAAAGTTGATTTTTGATTGACTAAAAGATAATAAAGCGAACGACTTCTATTGGATAAATACAAAAATCTTTTTGGTTTCAGCTTTCAAAGGATATCACCAGACTTTCTAAATTCTTTTTTCAACTTAAAACCGTTAGAGAAAAGTTTTTCAGTTTTCTTTTTTACTTTTCTTATCACAATTTTATTAGTTTTGCGACAACTAAAAGAAATTCCGATTCTTTCACCTGCTTTTAAAACAAACGCCACTTAAAATTAGTGCAGACTGATTTAACCGTATCAAGTAGCCTTGACTACTGTGGAATGCCACCTAATTCTACTGATCTAAAGATCCAACTATTTGTATTTGATCAATATCTCCTTTTTTTATACTTTTATTTCAGTAATGACATACAGTTATGTACGTGTGTGTGTGCCTATCATATATGTGCGTGTATCTGACATAAATCAACTAAAAAAAATTGAGTCATAGAACGCTTGTCAAAGTAGGAACAGAATTGGGTCTAAAGCTTGCAATGCTGTAAAAGAAAGATATCATTGTCTTTCAGTTTTATATTTGTCAAATAGAAATCAATGTCAATACTTTTCACGACAAAATTACAGCCAAAAAATAATTTGTCATTTCAAAAATCTCCGCCCTTTAATCTCGCACTCCATTAGTCTAAGCCCCATGGCTCCTTTCATCTCCACTCCCCTCCTTTTCCTTATTCCAACAGTTACTCAATCCTTCCCCACTTCCCCTTTACTCTTACTTTTCACTTCTACCGATGTTTGTAATGAAAAACCCCACCTTTTCAAGCATTGTGAAAAAGGAGATTTTCACACACTAGCTCTCTTTTTTTTCTCCACAATTTCTGGCGCCAAAAAATATTGTTGACTAATTTTTATTTAATCAGCAAAGTGTAGTTTCTGTACTACATCAAACGGTCAGATAAACTTGGAAGTCTCCTAAAGAAATTCAAAGTAGCAGGTGGCATTGGGTCCCTAAACATGGGATGACGCAGGAAGTAGAATCCAAGGGCCACTGCTACCATTTTTGGTGGCACTGCATATAGCACTATTGTTATAATTAGGCACACGATTATGAACAATTTCGTTGCCCTTGGGTCCCTCCAACTTACTAAGGCTTGGACCCTTTCTCCTTGGGTTGCAAAATCACCCAATACTGTTTGTACCCTTGCTGCCAATATTCTCAATCTGTCATATCGCATCCGAATTATTTCGGGTGGTCTAGAACTTGGTAATGTGTCAAATTCCTCGTCCAATTCATCCGGGTCTACTGTCTCTGATTGGGAGATTCGGGTATCCATACCCGCGGGTATTTTAGGCCTGAACCGATAATACCATACACCAATCAAGAAGACGTATAGAAACCCAGTAGGAACAATCAAATCTGGATACCAAACAAGTACCAAGTATAGAACATGGACAAGTATCGTTGTTACTGAATTTCTCCACCTCCTAATGTCATCCAACCATTTTGCTAACCCAACAGCCCAGGCTAAGACGGCTACTATTCGAAACCAATTAGCCTTACTCTTCCTCATGCTCCATGTATGAGAATCTGCATCCAACATGTATCGAACCACCTCTGGTCCCAAAGGTGGCTCGGATCGAGCTAACCATGCTGCAACCATTTTGATAGCTGCCCCTCTCAATGCCTCTTGTTGAGCCACCCCGAGTGGGCGTAGATAATGCATCTTTGGTAACACTGGCTGCCCATAAATAGCACATGTTTCTGGTAACAATGATGGGCAAACAAATCGAATTGCAACTTCAATTTCACCCATTTTCTTCAACCCGGATCGCAACAGAACTAATAAAGGATAGGAATTTGTGTACACTTTGTTATTCTCCAATGTAGAGACTCGTATACGTACTTTTCCTATACGATAATCAGGCTTGTCATCACCAGCATCAGCAAACATACGCCAATTATCAAATACGCCAATTGTAAGAACTGTACAAGGATCGTATACTTGCCATGTGTACTGCTCGTTCCAACGCGGGTCAAATGTATCGGTTATGGTCCGAGTCCGCACCCATTTCTTCCCGTATTTGGCAACACAGTAAGCATCTGTGGATCCTTTTCCCGGACCCTTGGATTTCAATGGTAACAACCCGCGAGCTCCAAGAATTCCCAGCTCCAAAATACCAACTGCCGGTTTCCATAGCTGTTTAGCAGTGGGCCTGAAATCACTACACACGTGCGCTGCTTCATCAAGCACGTGATATCCTCCTTCTAAGCACATCCTCAAGTTTACCCTTCCACAGTAGGACCCACCTGGCCCACCTTCCAATCCGAACCATTTGCCTGCCACGAGTCGCTCATCGACCCGCTGCTCGATCGAGCTCACAGGAATTATTATGTGCCCGAGGAGCACTGGATCCTTCGTCGTACGATCTTCCGCTAGCAAGATGAGGCTATCTTCAAGTGGCTCACCGGCGACGAAGATTAAGTCTTCGTTCCAGTGGAACGCCGAACTATGATGATTCATAGACCCTCGTCGAGTTCGCACCGATTGAAACCCTAGCTGAGCTTTGATTCTTACCTCCGGCGCCGTTAACGGCGGTAAATTTGGGGCAATATGAAGGTCCTGAGCTTCAATCACTGTGACTCTTAGGTACCAGAGCTTGGGAGATTGATAGACTTTTGAGCGCGTGTGTGCCACGTAGGGTGCGTCTGAGCTCCACGATTCAGGAAACGCGTCATCTGCTTGAGTTCCAATCCAAACAGAGAGCTGAATATCGCCGGAAACTTTGTGCTGGTCATCGCCGCCACCTTCGAGATTATACCACTGCGGAGCAAGAGGACTGTCCGGCGGATCTCGTACTGGCACATCGGTGAGGTCGAAACAAACTCCACCGAGGAAATTATCAGACGCGCTATCCCAAACTGAAATTTCAAGTGTTGAATTAGCCGTCTCTTGTTTGTTGTAGCCTAGGGCGAAGACCTGTTGCCACTCTGGATACGACAACGGCTCGCCGGGCCGGATAATGCCCGGTTTAGACCTGACAAAATGGCTTGAAGTACGAATCTTCACGAATGGGCTTTCACTCGGCGCAAGTCCTCTAGCTTTCACAATTCTAACGAATAGGTATTGCATTGGCTCAACGAGATCGAACGCCGAGATTTTTTCCGAATCACCGCCGACTTTCCCGGAGATTACCCTAGGCGAGTAGTCTCCGTTTGGCCGTCTCAAAACTCTCATTCTTTCTCCAGCTCTTGCCGCCTGCATCCGCTTCACTTCCGGTGGTGGGTACTGATCAGGTGGTGGAACACTCGTCATCATTGGTGGATCCTCCTCATGATGCCTGTGACTGTGACTACACTGTTGTTGCTGCTGTTCCGGCGGCATATTCATCGGCGAAGGAGATTCCTCGATCGTGACAATAGGCGGGGATTGTTCCTGTGCTTCCATGGCAAACTCCGTCGGCATAGGGACTTCAAGCATCCTCTGACGGGGATCTTCCATGACAACGAAAACAGGAGTTTTCCTCACTTCTTCCTGCGGCGGTGGTGGCGCCTGCTGCTGCTGCTGCTGCTGCTCTGGTTGCGGCGGTGGAGGCTGTTCCTCAGCTTCTTGCACCATTTCATCATAGTAATAAATCTTCAAACCCAGTTCACCTCTAATCCAACTAAAAACACTCTTTTTCTCCAAAGGGAAGTATATCAATCCCTCTTCACCCCTCCTCGCAAACTGGCTCCCATAAATTTTTACTCTCCCTAAAAAATGATTCTTCCTTGCATTCCCATTACTCAGCTTCTTGTCGTTGAATACCTCAATGTCTAGCTCCTCAAACTCCATCGTTCTAGGATCGGATATGATGAATTCCAGAGCCTCGTGCCATTCCGGGTTAAGATTTCTACACACAGTTGAAGTCCGCTTCTTCTGGCCGTCAAAATCCACGACAACATATGGACTGGAGCTGCCTTGTCCATCCTTTGGTAATAAATTACGTGCGTCAAGAATTTCTACTACAAGTTTACGGACTAGTTGCGGTGGTTTTGGTGGCGGTTCTTGCTGTTGGGGTTGCTGTTCCGGCGGCCCTGATGACATGGTTATGGGTTCATTGTGTGAAGGTGGCCGCGAGAGTGAAAGAGTTGGAAGAGATTATTGTTATGTTTGTTTTTTGTGCTGCTTTGTCTGTTATTTGCCCTTTACTTTTTTTGTTTTAACTCAGTTTTTTCAGTTTTTTGGTTTTTTTCTGTTTGTGGGATAGTAAAATGGTAATTTTGAGGAATGTTTAAGGAGGTGTGTGTAATTGGATGCTGATGCGATCTCGATAGGTGAGAGAGATGGAGAGAGGGATTATATTCCAATCTCTCTCGCGAAGTTTCCTTTCTTTCTTTTCTTTTCATTTTTCTTTGCTTTTCGGTTTCCCTCCTTTCTGGTTCTTAATTAATTAATCCTACATTTATTCTGTTTTTGAAATGAGGGAACTTCCCACTATTCTACATTTATTCAATGATTATATATTTTAGATATCAAACAAATAAAGTATGGAGTATTAATTTATTCGACTGAACTACAGATTAAAAAAAAGTTATTCGACTGAACTAATTAAGTTTAATTTTAAAAATTGAGTTTAGCTTTATGCTTTGTGGAGAGCCAAGGGAGGCAGACATGGAGTTTGTATCAAGTTATCCTCTATTATTTTCTTATCATATACTTTATTTGGGAGTATAAATAATATAATTGAACCTAATTATGGTGAAATTCGAACTTTTAAAATGTAATACTATGGTTCAAATTATGACTTCTTGACTACTAACAAGTCCTTTAGATTTCAGTACATTTTCTTATCCATTTATAGTTGAAATGTTAACTATTTTAGCCTTTAGACTGCTTAAGATTGATATAATAGCGCTAGAGCTCCTTAATAGAATCTAGGGAAAATGGTCAAATATACCTCTCTATTTTCATATATTGTTTACATTTAACCTCCATTATACTATCGGACCAAATTTACCCCTACAATCAGCAAACTTTAACAATACTCCTTGATCTGTTAAGTAATCCAAAATCTCCCAAATTTATTTTATTTAAATCATTTGTTGTTCTTCTTGGTCCACTATTTTTAAAATAATTGGCATTTACCCGTTTTCTGAATTAGAAAAAAATATTAAATAATGCAACTGAATAAACAAAGTATAGTAAATTGAAAAATCTAAATTAGGTAGCTTTTCTAAATTCTAAAAGTATTTACACCGCCCCAATTTTAATGAATTCGTTTCACCAAATGTATGGAGGCTTTGCAAGTAATAGTGATTGAAGTTGAAGTTCTTCGAAGACTTCACATTGTCTAATTCAACTTTGCTTTAATTAAATGCCTACACATTGTGCATTTTTAAGTTAGTCGATCGAACTCTATACTAACCAGGCAATGACAAAATATATTTGATATACATTTACATACAGGATGATCAGCTGCATATAGTACACAATAAATAGACCCAATAAATTCTGCGGTGTGTATATATTAAAAAATAAATAAAATTTTAATCTAATTTTATTTATTACAAAAAGAGAAATGGGTGCATTGATAATTTTAAAAAATATTATAAATAATTTGTATAATCTAGTAACTTTAGCATTCATATCAATAGTAATTTTTAAAAATAATGGACCAAGAAGAACAACAAGTGATTTAAATAAAAGAAATTTGGGAGATTTTGGATTACTTAACAGATCGAGGGTATTTTTAAAAGTTTGTTGATTGTATGAGTAAATTTATGGGTGTTTAACGGGCGGGATGAGATGGGCTATACACAAAAAAAAAAATTAGCCCGTCCGTTTAACGTTTCGGACTGTTAGCGGGCTGTACTTTTTTCGGGTTTTTTTGTCCGTCCGGGTTCGGGCTTAGCGGGCTTGACCGGGCTGTGCAATTTTTTTTTATTTTTTTAAAGTAAATTTTATTTTTCTTATTCAATGTTTATTAATACTTAAGTGTTTGCAAACTTTTAAGGCTTAGAATTAAACTTTTTAGTTTAAAATTTTAAATTTTAAATTTGAATTTTATAATTTTAAAATTGAAATTTAAAAGTAAGTGGCTAGAAAAAAATTATTTAATAAGACCAAAAAGCAATATGTAAGGATCAAGCTCCGAAGACTTTCATTTGATATTTTTATTGAATAATATATAATACTTCAAATTAAGTTGCAAGTTCTTTTTTGATTTTGTTATTTTTGAACTTGCAAATTAAAAGTTTACAATAATTATAAAAAATAAAAAAATAATACATCACATGCTTTGCATCATTTTTGTAAGTTCATTCATATCAACATGAGGTTATTGGTTTCTGACATTGGTTGAATCAGAACAATAAACCATTATATCTCCAATTTCCCTAGTCCTCCGCTTCATCTACCTCGTCACGCCCTTGATTTCACCGTTCTGATCTTATCCAATCTCCGAAGCACACTAGAATTTTCAAAGCGTTGTTGCCCAATGAATGACGGGTATCTCCTAGTTGCTGTCTTGCTTGGCTAAATGCGCTATCTGATGCGACTGTTGAAATCGGCTCATTTAGCACGTCTCGAGCCATGGCCGAAAGAACAGAAAATTGATTTGAGTTGCTCCTCCACTAATCCAGTGGTAAAAATTCCTTTGTGCGGGGCTCTGCTGACTTTTGCAAGTAGAATTGTAGTTCATCAATATTCCTGCTACTGGTTTGTTGATGCTCCCCTAGTGTAGACCAAATCAAATAATCTTCAACACCATCATTATCATCTAAAGCACTGGTCCCAGATGTTGAAACTGAACTTGAAGGAATATTTGCATTTACATCAGAAGAAGCATCAACAATGTTAGCATAATAATTATATAATATTTCTAAATGTTTGTGTAGATCAGAAATACAAGTGTCAATATCAGGAGTTTCAGTTGGTCCAATATCCATATAAGAATATAAAGAGAGAGAATTAGAGTAGTAAGATGGTGAATTGTGAGTAGTAAGAATATAATAAGTAATTGAGAATTTAAGAACAATAATCAATAATATCAAGAGAGAATTGAGAGAGAATTAGAGTAGTAAGAGAGTGAATTGTGAGGAAAAATGAAGAAGAAGGGAGGTTATTTATAGTTTTTAAAAGGTTAAAATTATAATTTATCAAATTTTAGGGGTGTGGGGACTATTTTCTTAAGGGGTAGGCCGAAATGGCCATTTTTGCAAAAAAGGGCCGTTGCAAATTTGAACGTTGGCAGCGGTCCAGAAAAAAAAAATTAAAAAAAAAAAATTGTAACGGATACCGGGTTGAACCGGGCTGTAGCCCGTTAAAAATCCGTTAACGGGTTAACGAGCTTAGCGGGTTCCGGTGCACCGGTATCAAAAAACTGTTCGTTTGAAACCCGCTCCCCGCCCAACCCGTCC